ATGGCGTGAACCTACGAGGCGGAGCTTGCAGTGAGCGGAGACAGCGCCACTGTACTCCAGCCTGGGCAACAGAGCGAGACTCCGTCTCAAAAAAAAAAAAAAATTATTCACAAATTCGATTACATTTTTAGAAGAGATAATAGGATTACTGGGTTAAGAATCTCAACTTTTTTTTTTTTTGGAGACAGAGTCTTGCTCTGTCACCCAGGCTGGAATATAGTGTCACGATCTTGGCTCACTGCACCCTCCACCTCCCAGGTTCAAGCGTTTCTCCTGCCTCAGCCTCCTGACTAGCTGGGATTACAGGCGCCCACCACCACACCCAGCTAATTTTTGTACTTTTAGTAGAGAGAGGGTTTCACCATTTTGGCTAGGCTGGTCTCAAACTCCTGACCTTAGGTGATCCACCCACCTCGGCCTCCCAAAGTGCTGGGATTACAGGCATGAGCCACCTCGCCTGGCCTTTTTTTTTTTTTTTTTTGAGACAGGGTCTTACTCTGTTGCCCAGTCTGGAGTGCACATAGCACCATTATGGTTCACTGTGGCCTCAGCCTCCCAAGTAGCTGGGCAGGGACTACAGGCGCATGCCACTATGCCCAGCTAATTTTTGTATTTTTAGTGGAGTATGAGTTTTGCCATATTGCCCAGGCTGGTCTTGAACTTCTGGACTCAGCAATCTGGCTCCCAAAGTGTTGGGATTACAGTTGTGAGCCACTCCGCCTGATCTTAAGAATCTCACCATTTTAAAAGCTTTTGGTACATATTGCCAAAGAATAGAAAGATTGTACTGGTTCTTGCTCCTTTTTTCCTCCCATGCTTAAGTTTAAAAAAAAAAATCATAGTTGTAATTATATTTTATGTACAATTTTACATTCTTCTTTGGCTTAACAAAATTATTTTCACATGTTTGTCACACTAGGTAACCCTTTTAATAGGTGCATAATAATTTTTTCTTGGATATAATTATAGTTTGTTTAAACTTTTGTCTGTTGTTGGATTTAGTCTTTCCATTTTTCACACATAATTTTTATGTATTAAAGCAGGCCTTATAGTAGTTTTGATCTGAGCTTTGAAAGCTGGCTTTGAATTCCCTGCACACTATTATATATATTACATAATATATATTATGTATTATATATATTATTTATATTTTTTCCTTTGAGACAGAGTCTTGCTGTTGCCCAGGCGATTCTCCTGCCTCAGCCTCCTGAGCAGCTGGGTTTACAGGCATGTACCACCATGCCCAGCTAATTTTTGTATTTTTAGTAGAGATGTGGTTTCGCCATTTTGGCGAGGCTGGTCTGAAACTCCTGGGTTCAGGTGATCCTCCCGCCTCAGCCTCCCAAAGAGCTGGGATAACAGGCATGAGCCCAGCCAGCACTGCACACTTCTAATTAGTCCAATGACTTAAGCAAGTTTCTTCATTTCATTAAGCCTTTTTCTTTTTCCCTAAAGAAGATTATGGTTTTGGAAATATTTTCCTCATGGGGTTGTTGTGAGAGTCCAATGAGATAATAAGGAGTGGTGCTTATTACAAAATCAAGCACTCAACAAAAATAGGATTCAAAGCCATTTTTAAAAATCACATTTCCTTTCATTGGCTTGATTAAATTGGGTACCAATAAGATAAACAAATCTTGATTAGGTTAAGATTAGTATAAAAGACCTTTCTTCCAGGGTATTCAATCATTTAGAGCTTGTCTTCGGTGCTCAACTTTAGTTATCCCAGATCACTGAAGCTGAGATGGCTGATGAAGTAATTTGCAGTGAAATTTTAAGCGACTGTGACTCTGCTCCAAGTTCCCCAGATCTCGAGGTAAGGAATTGTGAGAAAAAGTGGGGGTGAGGGGAATAGTGGGGTATAATGAGTCACTTTTGATTTTTTGGTTTGCTAATGAAGATGTTCTCTTGTCCAAATCCCTCCGCCAACCATGTTTGTTTAACTTTTTGGTTGGGCTTATACGTATCTTTCGAACTGTAGGTTAGTGTGCCCACAAAAATTTCTCTTGCAAACTTACACTGCCATTCCTTCCTTTTTAATAAATGTGTTCGATTGCTACAAAAATGTGGCAATTCTGCCCTCCAGGGCTAGGTCTCATTGATATTTCGGATGCAGCCGTGTAGTGGGAGCCTGCCAGGAGAAATTCCTCTGGGATCTTGGGAGCTTGAGGGCTGAAATGAAGGGTGGCACCCAGATCCCCAATCAATGCATGCTCAATCAACAAACATCTAACAGGACCTTATGTGGTAGGCATATTGCCAGGCTGTGGAGATGTGAATATAAATAGTATCCGGCCCCTCATTTGAAGGCGCTCACAACCTAGTTAAGAAACCACAAAACAATTAAGCGCGCTGTGGAGAGAGGCCCACTTGTCCTGGGAAATGAGGGGAAGCTGGGGTTTGCAGTGGTTTGGTTGAAGGGGGACTACATGTTAGAGGCACGGACTGGGTGCAGGTACATGAAACGGAACGAGAAGGGTGGAAGGAGACATCCACAAAGTAACCACATGCTGGGGTGTCGAAGGCTGTGATTTACCGTTTTGAGGTTTTACCTCGCCTGCAAAGGGGGACCAGTCTGTTAGCGGTGCAGATTGGAAGGGTGACATTGGAAGCTGTCCAGGGAAGAGAAGAAATTGGAACTAGGGAGCAGGAGGTCTACGCAAGAGGGCAGGACAGACAGGACTCGTGATTAGTAGCTCTGGACTGAGGAATCCTCCCTGCTTTCTGGTGTGGGAGAGCTAGTGGATGATGGTGCCAATAACCTGGATGGAGAAAGTAAGCTCCCTCCTGGAATGATTCATTCACAACCTCCATTTTCAGCAATATCCCATCTACTAGTTCTTCCTGGTCAGGATACAAGTTTCCTGAAACTGCTGCTCTGTTTTGGGCCTCACCCGGCCAACAGCTCACTAGCTGGCAAGCAGTAGTATCAAGATGGCGGCCCCCTAAGGGCTGGCTAGTCATGTGACTTCGGGTTTTCCAAGTTTGAAGCCGGGCAGTCCGTTCGGGGGCAAGGTTCACCTGTCACGAAACGAGTGTCACTCCTTCGAATCTCGCGAGCCAATCAGCATCTGAGACTGGGCCACTGCGGTGAGGCGATCGGAAGATTGGTCCTTTCCAGTCGCCTAGCTAGGGCCAATCACGGAGCGTCCTATACTTCGCGGGCCCGCCCGTAGGCCGGGGAGAAGCAGGAATATCGTCACAGCGTGGCGGTATTATTACCTAAGGACTCGATAGGAGGTGGGACGCGTGTTGATTGACAGGCAGATTTCCCCTACCGGGATTTGAGAATTTGGCACAGTACCCCGCCTTAGAGGTGGGGTCTCATTTGATTGCCAAGTAATATTCCCCAATGGAGTACTAGCTCGTGATGACGGGCAGACAGTTTGACTAATGAGTCCTCGGCGTGGCCGGCGCAGCTCTCCAATCGCCGGGCGGCGGGCCCCAGTCTGAGCGGCGATGGCG